GCTGGGATTAGCAGCTAACTATAATCACTTCCAAATTATTTTTCTCATTAGTCATCTTCAAATTTATACATTTTTCTTCATACACTTCTCGTACAGTGCAAGTATAAACAGATTAAGCTTTCATAATCCAAAAATCCAAAATGCTCCAAAATCTGAAATTTTGAGTGCTAAAGAAACACAAGTGCAAATTCCACACCATAAAACTTTATTACATATAGATTAAAACACACACACACACACAACTTGCAAATTTATGTGTAAAATGTGTACCTCAAGTATAATTTTGCATGTAAACTTGGGCCTATCTCTAAATTATCTCATTATGTATATACAAATACTCCAAAATCAGAAATCTGAATTGAAACATTCTGATCCCAAGCACTTCAGACAAGGAATACAGGAAAGGAAAAAGGGAAACTACTCTCTACTTTTTTCTTATGCTTTTGATAATGTAACAGATAAAAAAGAAATACATAAATCATTTCTTAGTATCGATGGGAAATTAATTCTAGGACCCCTGCAGAACCAAAACTGGTAGATGCTTAAATCCCTTAGTACAAATGGCATAACACTTGTACACACCTAAGCACGTCTCCTATGTACTTACATTATTTCTGGATCACTTACCATCCCTAACCATGCAAATGCTACACGGTTAGTTACTATGTTGTTTGGGGACTCATAAGAACATGTTCAGTCTGGGACACTGACCCCCCACCCCCATGGTAGAACATTTCTGATCTGCATCTGGGGTATGGGCACGAACAGAGAGCCTACTCTATATTGATTTGTGGCCTAAGGTTCTTGGCTCCTAGAACTGCTGGAGCCACAAAAAGTGTATCTTGTATGATGATAAGATGACTGTTGGCTAAGGGCTCCTACACAGCCTCAGAAAGTGCGTACTGGTCAGTGAGCACCACCCTGTGGTTAGATGATTGTGTTCTGAGAGCTTCTAGGTAGCTGAGCGTTCAGAAGTACCTAGCACAGACGGTGGTTCCAAAAGGACATCACAACTCCCTGCCTTTTTCCACAGAGCCAGCTATCCTCTCTTCATCTAACTACTCTTCTGTATCCTTTATGATGAAATGTATGTAAAACACTCTCCTGAGTTCTGTGAGCTGCTCTAGCAAATGACAGGCCAAGGAGGGAATGCGGAAAGACTCAATTTCTATGAAGCAGTTCAGCAGCACCAGAGGCCCAGCTAGTGATTGGCACCTGAAGTGGAAGGTAGTCTTATGGGAATAAGCTCCTAACCCATGGGATCTGTCCCTAACTAGAGGTTGAAATGGATTATAGGATACCTTTAGCTGGAGGGTGGAAGTGGAGAAACCACCACATTTGGTCACAAAGTTTGAAGGCAGAAGTAGTTTGGCTTTTCCTGCCCCAAACCTGCTTCATATATAGAACACAAAGTTTCAAAGGATAGTAACATTCTCTAACTCCTAAATTCTGTTTCTAATAGCAAGCATCAATCAACATTCCCAAATCTCAACTTTATAAAGCAGCAATTCACCTTAATAGTATGTTAAAATGTTTCCAATTCTCTTAGAATCTGTAATCATAACAAGTACTCCAGGTAATTCTTACACAATTGTTTGCTACAGTTACGCAGCAGGTGGCAGCGATGACATAGGAAATTTTTGCTGAATTCTGCATCTTCTTTTCATTAATCCTGAACATGAAAAAAGCATTCATAAAAACTTACCTTTTTCCTTAACTGAGTAGCATTCACCAATTCACCATTATGTGCCACAGCTATTTTCCCATGGAGTGTTTCAACGACAAAGGGCTGACAATTCTCTAATTCACATCTTCCTGTAGTGGCATATCTTGTGTGTCCAATTCCAAGATTTGACACATATAATTTCTTCAAATTATCTTCAGTAAAAACATGATTTACAAGCCCCATTCCCTTGAGAAGTCAAAATAAAAACTGTCTTAGAAAAACAAGAGAGAGAGAGAGAGAGAGAGAGAGAGAGAGAGAGAGAGAAGAAAAAGAGACCAGTCCCACCAGTGAGTAACAAAAGCCCATCTGTAGCACAGGTTACGTTAGTTCTCTGTACTTCAGAATTCTAATCTTAGAAAAAAAGCTGAAGTTAATTTTAAGAACTTTGCAGCACTGATTTTAAAAATGTACAAGGAGGTGAAATTCACATAAAATTAACCACTTTTTTAAAGTGAGCAATTTGGTGGCATTTTGGACATTCATGATACTGAGTTGTTTTCTAAACTTCATCCACACATTAGTTTACAGGACACTTTATAAATGAACAGATGTACTAAGACAACAAAATCTGTTAAATACTAATGGAAAGTTTGCATTTTACAAAAATTCAAGCACCTTGAAGTATTTCAACAAATGGTCTACTACTTGAGTTAGAGAGCAAACTAACACTGGGAAAAAAAATACATCCTAATTTGACAAATGTTAGAATATAAAGGTGGAAACAGAAGGTCCAAAGAGTACCATCCTAATTGCAATTTCTTTATTCAGAATTCCTTTCCCCAATATACTAATGCTCTCCTGGCAACTGTTACTGTTATCATCTACATTTTTTAATGTTCAAATTTACCTTATGCATTTTGATTGTTGGCACCAAACTCCCATCACTGGTCACAATACCAGCACTCTCTTGACCACTATGAAGACACAAGGAGATAGATACACTGTGAAACCTGCCCAAATGATAAGCTTTTTGAATTTTATCAAGCATATGTTTCTTAACAAGCATCATAAACTACCCGATGACACATTAAATGACACATTAAATGCTATCCAGAAAGCTAGCACTACTTCATTAATGCTGCCTACAGTCAGCAATAGCAGCAAATGATTTTAGCAATAGATGATTCTGTCATTCAGTTCTAATATGCCAAGTACTGCCCTTTTACAACAATCCTACAAGGTCAGTATGTACTACAACTACCATCCCCACCTTACAGAGCAGCATCCTGAAGTGGAAACTTGCCCAGTGTCCAAGTGAGCAGGTGACACAACTAGGAGTGCACAACAGACAATCTAATTCCAAAAAAAGGTGTTCTAACCTCTCTACAGAGAAGGTTACATAAGGTGTCAGTGGGCTGAGGATAACAAACAAGACTAGAGTGGCATTATAGTCTGTGAAAAAGCAGGAAATGAAGTGGGCACACTCGGCCTCCCACCACCTCTGGCAGACACTACCCTCTTGGAAGTGGAGTCTTGTCTCCTCACAGAAGGATTTCTTCTCAAAAATATATACATACAAAATGTTAAAAATAATAGGGGATCTGGTTCCGCGGTACTTTCCCTAGCATTCCAGATTTGGCCCTGATTTGATCTCTTGTACTACAAAAAAGAAAGCCGCCTTCTGAAAATCTGCCGAGTAGCACCCTTTCCCAAGTTTGTGTCTCATCTCCTGCATTAACAATGTTATGTAACATGATTTTTTAAAAAGCCAGGTGTAGTGGTGCACCCTTATAATACCAGCACTCAAGAGGCTGAGGCAGAAGGATCCCTGTAAGTTTGAGATCAGCCTGGGCTACATAGTGAGTTCAAAACCATCCTGAACCCCATAGTGATAAATAAATAGGAAAAAGAAAAAAGAAATATAAAGTACCTCTTTTCTATATGAATATGCATACTTGTAACAATTGCTAACATATTGCTGGGCATGGTGACATGCACCTATAATCCCAGCAAGTGAAGCTGAGGCAGAATTGCTGCAAGTTAGAGACCAGCTTGGGCTGCAAAGTGAGCTCAAGGTCAGCCTAAACAGCATAGCATGACCCTGTCTCAAAATTTAAAAAAAAA